CGATAGATTTACGCACATTGGGCTAATAACATCGAACATTGGTCGTCGCGGTAACGGTTTCGCCTCTTCGTGATGATTGGTGGCGTTTTCCCGCACTCTGGACATGGCCACTTTAAGCCCGGCACCTCGGGTAATGTTACGCGCGTTGATAACCGACTGATTCATTAGCCCAAAATGGTCAAAATCGTTAACGTTGTGCCAGGCATTCCAATTCATTTGTCCTGGTCTATGACCGAAATGTTTTCCTGCTCTGGCATGTCGGTGTCCGTTAATATAATCATCGGCAGGGAGAGGATAATATAAAAGGTATAGAAGTCCCACAATATTGGCGCCAATCAGTATGCGAAACACGTGTTTTACTAACATATTGATCCGTTAGCAGGTGTCAGTATGAATGACCTCTGACCTATCGTGTTCCTATATCGTACTCAGATGTAACGGTCGCCATTTTGTGATCACAGTATTCCACATTTACCAGTATCCTGACGTGTTCACCGTCAGCATCACACTAAAACAAAACAAAACAACACGATCGTAAGTGTTATTATAGTTACAAAACGTTCATAAAATAACATCGCGTGAATATATTTCTTTACCATATGTTGATACATATACGGTTTGTTAACGTAATTCAACAAAGCGGAATACTACAAAACGCTCCCTTTCTTTAAATTTGGACTTTATATGCGTGCTATCACATATCACCACTATCTAACTGTACGTTTCGTTATAATGTTGTGCGTTGTCTGAGCCATCATTTCGTCGCACAAACACAAACTAACCACATTGTATATACACTCAGATTACTACTCCAATGTATAATAAGACTCGCGGCGGTGCTTGTTGGTAAAAATACGAAAATGTAAAAAAAACTATCACTCCGCTTTAATTGTCGAAATAACACAATTCAAAAACATTTTGTCAGTCGGCTGCTGACAGTTTGTGATACGAAAAGTGAGTTTGTTTTTCACATTATGTGTTTGACGTCATTATTTGAGCGGGGTTGTAGATGTCACACTGATTTCGCCTTAAATTAAAATCATATTATTATCAATAAATGAACATTCACACGTTATCGTCATCTTACCGTCTTGTCGGACCATGGTGTCAGATGAAATCAGTAGCACAGCACACAGGCACCCTGTCTCGTCGTCGCGACACACTCAAACACTACGCACAGCACCAGGACCAATACAGTTCACTGCTGGCGCCGGCTTTTAACAATGACGGGATCAATTCAAGCCCCGACCTACGTACTTTTTGTTGCGTAGGAGCCTCGTGTGCACAATGTGTTATCAGGTCCAGCTGTCGCCTCTCCCCTTATTTTACATCTCAATACATTAATGTACGACATTTACATTTGCTTTGATTGTGCTGAAACATCGCCGTAATATAGAGTAGTAGTCACTATTTATGTCAAGTGCAATGCCTTATGGGCAACGTTATGTATAGGTATTGGAATGAAGAGCTCGTCTTTTGAAGGTGGAGTGCTCATCTTTCAGGGACGGAGAACTCATTTCTGTGATTGGAAATCTCTTCTTTCTGGACTCTTCAGAAATTATTCCTGAACACGCACGATGGTGATTCATCGACGTGAAAATGGTGTAAATATTATGTCCCTTAGTGACTTTCGTGTTAGCGTTGCGTGTAATCCTTTTCGTGTTGTATAATTATATATGTCAGCTTATGACGATGCTCACGTGATGGGAGTATTATAAAAAAACGTAATATTTGTAAATCATACATCCTCTTGAAATTAGTTAAATGAATAAATGACTTACTAATAAACAAGCGAAACAAAACAAATAAATAAATATATAAATAAGTAACACAATTCACGTGATAATTACACGATGTTTGATTTTTAAATTCTGCTACGCAATGTACATGTACTAGTTTGACCCATAATGATAACATGTACTAAGCCTATGTAGGGCAAGCTGTTATTAATATCATTAATAACAGGAACAATACTATAACTGGGTGATTTCGTGTTGTCTTCGTTTTACCAATACTCTATTTATTTATAAAGTGGCTGTTAATTATTAACAATCTTCCAACACTCGTCGTAGAGTTTTTCTCGGTAGACTGTTAACTGACCTCAGTCTCTCATCTGTCTGTAGATGATAACAGCGCCATCGTGCGACGAAAAGTTCACCACCGTGACAAAAAATAGATGCACAAAACAATTGCTTTACCTAAAACAATTAGCCTGTCTTTACCAATTACAAATATTGTTATCGGGTGATAATATATATGTTAATTGTTATAACTTTCGATTATTGATATAATATTCTGAAAATAAATAATTTTTTGCTCGTGAAATCAAATCGATGTCATATTTTTGTTCGTGGAAGACTGTGGGATAAGTGGCTTTCATCGTTGTTCTGCTGCTTTAATTTTGGTGGCTGCCGCACGAGATTTAATTTCTCGCGTGAAATTTGCCGGATTTGCCTGTGCAGTGATGATAGTGCCGGTGACGATTTGACCAGGCTATTGAGCAGTGTGTGCATTCCCTGGCTCAACCGGGGCCGATCGACTTGTCGACTATATATGTCCGATGGACTTTTTATTCTCAAGAGTTTCTTGAGCTTGGACTGATTCAGAACATGTCGCTGCATTGAAATCTACAACAAATTACAGTACAGAACACTAAACTGCTGTATTTGCATTCTACGTTAAAGCGCGGTGGTCGTCGCGCAGCGCGTGTTCGAATTTCATATAAATAAATAATGTATTTTACAAGTGTTGTATACGTCGCTATGAGTTCCATGTCGAACAGGACGCGGAACGACGACTGCCACCCTTTAAATCTGTTTCAGCGAATGAATCACTGTAATTTTAAGCGTTGTAAACAAATTTGATGGAATCTACCTTGCGTTCTTGGCTGTCACGGTAAATCGGTCAATGATAAGAAAAAAACCTGCAACGAATCATGGGTAATGGGTGTTACCAAATGGTTTCTACAACCAATGAAAACATCTTTGAATTCGAATAAAGGATCGTTCGGGGTAAAGTTTTATATATATCCATAAAATAAATTCACGTCTTTTTTAATAAATATTCACTAAATTAAATAATAAATATTCACCGAATTCCTGCGTCAAATGCCCGTGCGTCCGAGCACATAGAACGTTCTGTGACGTAGGCTCCGTCCGATCGTGGATGGTCCGTGAATAAACGCATCGTGTCATCCATTGTTCTATAGACACCAGTAATCTGATGCTTGACCCGAGTCAAGATAGGTTATCAACAACGAACACTAGTATACGATGGTAGTTATCATATACATCTCCTATGACGCTCTGTTATAAATTGGATGAATTCAGGAATGAACAAAAATATAATGCGATATGGCGATACAGGGTGTTGTGATTTGTGTGTTATAATAGCGAGCTTCCAAGACAATCTAGTTAGTGGAAAATCAGGTGAATAAATAACAACCCCCTGAGGACTGTGAGTGAAAGATGGTTTAATAGCGAGCAAGAATGCAACCAAGACTTATTTTATAACTTTCTTTGTACTCCATAGTTGCGATGCTTTTCAGTGATTCGTGCATCTCCGACTGGACGCCTGGTGGCGCTATGATGTAAACACACAGCGATTGGACTTTGCTGTGTGCCAAAGCTGTGCATGCCCACGAACAATTGTATTATTAACATGCTCCCCGGAGTCTGGCAGAATTCCATTCATTGTTTAGAAACATCGCTTAAATGGGTTAGAGGGTAAGTCATTAGTTCTCATTCGTCTTTCCAGGTTCACAGACGTTCGAATCATTTGCGTCACCGAAGCAGGTAAGGTCTGTTTGAGTATGCGACGTGAGGAACCTTCTGAACTTTGGTTTACATGCAAGTTCGGAAATTACATGATTGTGTTTGAACGGGCATGCATAGTGGACGCTGGCATGATATGAAGATAAGCACTTGACCCTGTCACGTACTTACCGGTTATACGCTTAATTCAGAAACTTTCATGCCCGGCTCACATAATTAATATATTATATATATTATATGTTACCTTTTAATTGTATATTCATCAAAGCGATTCGTTGATATTTCCACAAAGACACATACTTTCAAATTCACCCACTCATTTATTCATCAACAAACTAAAATTGGTAAATTTTGACCGATGCTTGAGTCCATTCACGTCAATAACGCCAGTATATTACTTTTCAGTCAACTTCACGTGATTAAACATGATTGACGAAGCAAATATGTCTAGACGCCCACTGATTGGTGTAGCACACGTAAATTCACAAATCAGTTATTTTTCCCATGAGTAATCGCGCGAAGTTGACTCAATATTATATAGTGATCGATTTCACTATATCATATTGTTCTTCGATAAATTCGACCGAGTGGTTAACTTCGACGATCTGGAGTTGCGCAACGCCTCTTATATATATATATTGCTTAAACCAAACGTGTACATTTCTGAAATACAACCGACAAGCGCCACTTCACGAATGACTGTGGTCACGTAGTACCAAACATATGATGGTGTCTGTGGCAACGGTATGCTCTATTCGTACCGTCATCACTTGCAATTTGTACGTAACAAGAGACAGTTAAAAAAACAAAAACATTTTAATTGAAACAAATACTGTTTTGGCTGACCTCGCATGATCTGTAAAAAAAAACTCTCGCTAACTGCTGTAGAGAGCATAATGACAACACCATGAAATTTAGTTTAAAAGTCACGAATACATGCAAATTGCAGTTTGCGATTACAACTATGAACATTATTTCTGATTTGGTGATCAGAAACCAACAGACTAGCTTCATTGTCACAATATTTCAGAATTGGTTGCCACGCCAACTGATTTTCACTATATGATATTGCAGAAGTTTAAAATCTTTGCGCCACCAAAACAGGTGAGGTCAGTTTAAGTACAAGGCGTGCATGGTAAGGACATACAGATTTCGTGACATCGCATTCTTCAGTATCTGAGGCGAGACACCATATCAATCTTGTACTCCTAAGAGTCAACTAGCGTGATGCACTGGTACTCAAACCCCGCAATCGTTGTAGCTGTTTTTGGTGAGTAAATGCTAGGCAACGTGAGTTATGAAGTGTTGACATGTAGTTATGGCATGTAATCTACAAAACTACATCGTTCGTAGTGGTTGGTTGAAATTAGAAAAAAAAAACACGGAAATAACAAACCTGAAAACAAATCGTAGCACAGATCCAACAGATAAATGATGTACAACCAGGTTATTTGTGTTTTTTCTGGGTTTTATTACCTTGCCCGTACCATCAAAGATGGAAGGGAAAGGTATATTAAGGGAAAAAAATTGTCCGGTGTTGTCGTTGTTGTTGTCGTCGTCGTCGTCGTCGTTAATAATTGTTATTGTGTGCATAATAACTTTACTAATTCTATCCCAAACTTTATCAAACTTCGTCACCTTATTCATCAGTATGAAGTCTTCCCTGAGTTTGAACAACAGATGTCCTGTATGAAAAATATCATGCAAAAATTGA